CCGTTCATTGTCTGATTTAGCATATATTAACTAATTATTATTTTCTAATTCCCCTACAGTTTTTGCTCCATGAAAACAGGGACTTGGTTTGTTTGCTGCTACATTCTTAATGCCTAGAACAATCACTGGACATAGTGCTTATTAAACAATTTCATTGAATGAGGATTAAATGCTGGAAGAATGGATTAGGGAAGGAATGAATGGCTCAGGGTTTCTAAGCTCAGAGTGTTACAGTGTGGTAGAGAGACATGCAGTGAATGAATGTGTAAGACCTTATGGCTTATGTAGGAGAGTGGGGGCTTAGAGCCGGGCGCTAGAGCCTGATTGTTGAAAGTCACATCTCTGTTTATTTAGGATCTCTGGGCCTGGTTTTTTTTTTTTCTTATCTGTAAAATTGGAATAATAATACCTGCCTGGAGGATTATTGTGAGACTCAAAAGAAACTATGGATGTAAAGCACTAGGCATAATGCCTGGAATATAATAAGTTCATTAGTATTGGCTCATTTTGCAAGCATCAAGTAGAGTTTGCAAAGTTCTTCAGGATAACTTCCATTCTGGCTCAGTATTGCTGAGACTTTCCTGTTTAGGGGCAAAGGTTAGAAAACCCCCACCCCCAAGATACCGTCCCAGGGGACAATTTTATCTTAGAGTTTCTTTGAACCACAAATGTCCCCTGCTCCTTCCCTTCATGGAAAGAGTCTAAGGAATTCAAACATCTTCTCTGGAAATCACTCTTTCCTGTTTAAATATCAACACCCAGTTAAATATTGTTAGTTTTTTCCCCCTATTTTCTAGCAGTTTTTAGGCTATTGTAAATAATTGTTGAAGGGTGTACTTTGGGAGGATTTGTAAATCTTTCTTGTACCGTGTGATAACAGAAAACTATGTCAAAGGTCATCTGATAATTGGTATTTTAATATAAACTTATAAGCTTCCATTTATACAAGGACAGTTGCTCATTGGTAAGACTTCTTACTAGGTTGGAGCTTTGATCTTAAATCCTTGGGAAGTTTTGTAGAAATTAGAGGTGACATTGCTGGCAGATTTGTCTGTCGCTTTTTGACTCCATTAATTAAGCACAGATTTACACACCCCTTGTTTACTGTGTTGAAGCAAAAGAATTAAGCTTGACTTTAATTTTTGCTGGGAAACTATGAGCAGGTTCAGGGAAACATCAAAGAAGTGTTCTTAATCTAATAAAACAGACTCAAATGAACATCAGAGAATTGTAGATTCCAGTGGGAGTCTCATTTCATTTCTGTAAAGCATTAATTCTCCTTAATGATGAGAAACGGGAGGGGCAAGTACCATGCCTTCCCCAGTTGGTTAAATCCAGAGTTTGTGGCTGTTAATCTTACATCTAGAAGTCTCCTTTGTGTTTTTGCATTTTCATCCTACTTATACCTTCAAGATTTCAGTTTTAAAAACCTTAAAACTTGTTTTTTCATCTTAATTTTAGATCTTTTGAATAATCACTGTTATCTCAAAGCTTCTTATGTACCTAAGCTCTTAAAAATGAAATTGGAAGCTGGGCATGGTGGCACATGCCTATAATCCCAGCAACCTGGCAGGCCAAGGCAGGAGGATAACAGTGAGTTCAAGGCCAGCCTGGACTACACAGTGACACCCGTCTCAAAAACAAACAAACAAACAAATCAAACACCAAAAAAACCCCCACCAAAACACCAACAACAAAAACAACAAAACACTAGAGACAGGCGATGGCACTTGTGTAAGCTTGGGGCCAGATGGTGCAGTTGCAGAGGCAGATCTGGACCTAGCACTGGAGAGGTTCATTATCATGTCTGTTTCCACAACCTGTCAGATCACTCATTTGCTAACAGCAAATAGTTCTTCTGTGCCTGTCAGGGGCAGACAGCATTTTAAACCCCAAAACAGTGAACAGGTGGGTATGGTGGTACATACCTATAATCCTAATTGGAATTGCTGAGGCAGGAGGATTGCAAATTCAAACCAAACCTGGGCAATTTAGGATGGGCCTGTCTTAAAGTAAAAAATAAAAAAGACTGACAGTGTAATTGAGTGGTAGAACATTTCTGGGTTTAGTCCTTGGTACTACAAAAAGAGGGAGAGAGAGAGGGAGAGACAGAGACAGACACAGACACAGAAGTGAGCAATAGAGGTTAAACGGTTTTATGAAGTTTGTGTTCCAATGGACAACATTGTAAGTTAATTTTACAGTAGATTAGAAGGTATTCAGAGATGTAGATAGAAGTAAAGGATGTAGATAGTAAAGGAAATGATGTGAATTATTTTGTGCTTTAAATAGGATGGTCAGGATAGGCCTCACTAGTAGGTAGGGTATGAGCAGCTTGAGCGAGTTGGGGGAGCTGACCTTTGGCATAGGTGGGACGAAAACCAGAAGCAAGTGCAGAGTGCAGGGGTGGGCAGGGTGTGAGTGAGGGTAAGGGCTGGCCAGGGGTTGTGAGGGGTTGTGAGAGGAATAGATAGAGCTGTTGGGCAGATAATCCAGGGCCTGTGATTATTTGGGATTTTCTCTAATGGGAGTCATAGGAGGCTTTGAATGATCTGACATGATCTGACTTACATGGAGCAAGATTACTATTACATTGTGGCAGCTTGAGCAGAAGCCAGGAGACTAGACCAGTGGAGTTGCTGTTGCATTGATCTAAGCCAGAGATGGTGGCATTTTGAGCCAGAGTAGAAACAACAGAATTGAGAAGTGCTTTGATTCAAGGATATGTTGCGAAGACTGAGCCATGAGGGGCTGCTGATGCACAGGGAGAGTAGAGTCAGGGACACCTGCCAGATCTGAGCCTGAGCGGCTGGACTGTGCTCTGCTGCGTGTGCCCTGTTATTGTTGATGGCTCTTCCACGTCTCCCACTTACCAACAAATGCTCACTCTGGTCCTGTCTATGAACCTGCTGTATTCTGGTAGCCAAGACAAGTGCATCTGTGATCATCTGAGCCACCACAGATGAGGCCAGGCAAATTACTGCATGAGAACTTTGTTCACCAAAGCTTAGTGCTTAGTCTTTCTTGACACCACCTGTGTGTGCACTGCAGCATCACACTTCTGGGGGGGCGGGCACTGCAGTAAGTATCGGTGCTGTCTAAACCTCCATGGAAAATGCAGGAAAAGAGCAGGCAAGCAGGAGAAGCTAACATAGAAGCAAAGAATAGGAAGATCTGGAAATATAGAATATAAAACTCTGAAAATCTCAAAAATGTTAAGTGTGTGTCCTGTCTTGTAAACATTATCCACTTTGTTTCTGTCTCACATTGCTTGCAATCAGAAGATAAAAGGCATGATATTTCCAGAAGAGAGAGGGAGAGAGAGAGAAAAAGAGAACGAGAGAGAGAGAGAGAGAGAGAGAGAGAGATATTGAAGAGAGAGAGAGAGACTTACTGCACTAACCAATGTGACAAAAACAGAGTAAGTTCCAGTTGAGAGCTGGCAGGAGAAGAGTTTAGGGGTCACTCTTGGAGGTATAGTGACTTCCTAAGAGTCTGCATCTTTGCTGTTCCTACCCTAATCTTGCCTTCTTCAGCAAACCACAAAGCCTGTTGTGAGAACATGAGGACAGAGTTCACTCTGATGGTGGCCATGGATAGAGCCAAAAAAATCGCACTCTGTTTATTTAGTAGGAATTTTGTTTCCCATCCGTGTCTTGCTTGCATGGGGTTGAGTACATCTTAATCTGTCTGAGTTCTTATCTCAGGAAGAGCAAAGGGTAGCCCAGGAAGTCCTCTAAATAACAGGTGTGGACAGAATGAAGAGAAATAGGGAGGGCAGAGGCCAGTGGAAAACATCTTCAAGAAATCCGTAAGGCTGTGAACTGTAGAAAGGAGCAGGTGGGGGGACCTGTGCCTCAGGGCACAGACTGGGACCTATCAGGATGGAGTACGGGGACACCAGATGGACTGGCAGGAAGTCAAGCCAGATGGTGGGCTTTTATTTTTAAAAGGATTTGTAAATCCTAGAAAAAAGGAACCATAAGGGTACTGGGGCCTTTAATCCCATTAGAAGACAAAAGTGTGTTCTTTAAAAATGTAAGCCTACCAATTACAGAATTTCTGTTATCAAAACTGTAGGGCAGACAACCAACTTGTGAAACTCTAGGACTCTTGAACTGCTCATGGGTAAGAGGAGAAATTGCAAAATAGCCCAGACGTTGTAAATGAATAGACTCCTCCTTAAGAATTGAACGTCAATTTACTAAAATACACATTTTGAACCAAACAAAACCTATTTGCGTGAAAGGGGCTTGCTTATCTATACAGTTAGATTAGCTAACAGTGGGCTGTGCAATTTACTTAGTAAAATTTAAATTTCTAATAAACAATATTTAAAAATCTAAGCACCTTTTATTTTCCAAAAAATTGGAGCCTTACCCTCCCCCCCCAGTTTTTGCATCTAAATGGGCCCAGCTCTGCGTTCCCACAGCTACTCTTGCAGCACTAGAACTGTGGAACCAGCCCTGAATGCTATCCTGACCTTTATTTGCAGATCCGTAATCATTTCCAGGCACCTTCTCCAGCATGACCTCCCTGAAGGAGACGACTCCCCAGTATAGTGGGGAGTCATCCTTAGGTGTCCACCTGTGGCCTGCACCAGAGCTGTGCCCACAGGGCCACCCTTCCCTTGGGTGACCCCCAGCAGCAGGCAGGAGTGTGGATCCGGAGTGGCCCACACCTGCAGAGGTCTTGCCTTCTTTGTGTCTGACTCACTTGCTGAAAGAAAAGGTCTACTGTGATCTAAAATCTTCAAAGACACATGAAATGTAAAGCAAATGTTTTAAATAGTGTTTTAAATTACTTTTCTGTTTAGGATATGCAAGCGCACCCATTCAGTAACTGTCAGTAATGCTGCAGCATTTTGGATGCTATTTATAAATATTTCTTTCTTTAATCATTCCCAAGTTGCATACATGTTGCTTTGTACTTAAGGTGCACAGAGGAGCTTTCCAGTGCCGTTGACTGTTTTGCTTGCTTGTTTGTTTTTATGTGTAAAGATATGGAAACCTGGCGGATCCAAGCTGTGAAGATGGAAGCCCGAGTTCATCCGAGTCCAAGACGGTGATCAGGAAGTGAGTGCGTCTTTCTTCTGCATTAGTATCTCGGTCAAGACAGTATTGTTAAGAATATAGTTCAGGAGAGTTTCTTATATTCTTTTTCATAATGCCTACAAACATGGACTTTTAAAAAAATATAACAATAGTCATTTATTCGTCTAGGAAAAATACACTGGGACACCTGTTTCAGCCAGGCATTGTGCTAAGAGGTATAAAATAAGTGAAAAAAATCACGTGGGACAAAACTTAGAAAGTCTTACCTCTTTTTATGTTTTAGCAGAGAAAGGTAGACATCAAAAAATGAAGAAGAATGAAACGCGGATGGAGGCTAGGTCACCTGGGTGCCAGCCAGGTGCTGTGGGCTCTGGCGACATGGAGCGTGGCTCTCTGGGGCACTGGGCCACCTTTGTGGATGTCTGGGCAGAGCAGTGGGGAAGAGGCCCTGAGGCAGGAGGAGCATCGGGAAGCAGAGTGAATGGAACCACAAGTGCCAGCGGGCGAGATGTGTCCAGACCATGCGGGGACGTGAAGAACGCAGCAGACACTGAATTTGATGCTAAGAGGACAGGAAGCGCTTAGAAGGATTTGAGAGCAGTGCTATGACCTAACTATTTTAAAAGGCTTGTTCTGATTTGGGGTGGAAAATAGATCGTGGCAGTGCAGGTGGGAAAAGGGTGGTTAGAATCCTTTCTGGGGTCCAAGCAAGGATTGCTGGTGATGTGGACTCAAGCAGGGACAGTGGAAGTGCTCTGCTTCTGCAGACATTTTGAAGATTGGCAGGACGTGCTGGAGTGTGTGTGTGTGTGTGTGTGTGTGTGTGTGTGTGACTGTATGAGAGGAAAAAGGAAGCCAGGATGGTCCCCAGGTTGTGGTTTGGGTAACTAGTAGAACAGAACCTTGGTAAGAAAGTCTGGTGATGAGCAGGTTTGGTGAGAGTATGTGTTGATAAATTCATTATGGACCCATAAATTTCAAAGTAATTGGATGACTGTGAATTTTGGGGAGGAGTGCAGTTACACATTTGTGCATCCTTGGTTTACAGATGGTATTTGGGGCCACAGGACTGACTGTGCCCTCCTGGAGATCAAGGGTAAAGAAAAAAAAAAGAGAGAGAGAAGGCCCAGGAACTGAGTTTCAGTTTCTCCCTGTGTTTGGAGTTAGGAAAAGAGAGTTTGGTGGAGGAGAACAGAACAGAGCAGCTGTGGGGGATTTGGAGGAAGAGAAGAAAGAAGAGGAAGTTGTGTCCCAGAAGACAAAGGAAGTAAAGAGTTTGGGGAGGAACGGTAGCTATGCCCAGCACTGTCTGTAGATCAAGTGAGGGCAGTCTGGGAGGGACTTCTGCTTTGCAATGCTGCAGTCTTTGGTGACCCTTGGCCGGGACAGCTTTGCAGGATGGAGGTGTGGGTCAAGAGAGGACAAAGAGGCAGAAGCAGGGACAGTAGGGAGGAGTTTGCTATAGAGGGAATTAAGAAATGAGATGGAGAGTGATCTGGGGACAAAGGAGCTAGTAGTTGTAGTAGTTGTGTGTGTGTGTGTGTGTTTTAAAAATGGAAGATTATGTTGATGACACTAATCTAGGAGACACTGAGGGAATATCCGCCATGCATGGGTGGGGCTTCTGTAGGGGTGATCTTGAGTATAGGAGCTGTGTGTTCTGGTGTCCCAAACTCTGGTTTTAAATATTCATTTAGTGGAGGGCAAAGTCTGGGATTTCTTGACGAATTCCTTTCTTTAGGAGTCAGGATGGAAAGTCAGAAAACAACTTCTGTAACTCCTGAATTAAGCTCCATGTGGTTTTATAATTTTATTTTATAATCTTATTGCAGAAAACCAGACTTACTCTAGATACTTGAATGCCAAGTACAAGCTGTGGCAGGAAGAACAATCTAGAGGGATGGGTGAGGGTCGTGGAAGGAGGTGGCAATGAAGGATGGTCGAGACTTGGGTATAGGGCCATCTAGGCAGAGGAAATTGGCTACTTGATCAGGGAAATTCACGTACCTGGAATTCTAGGGAACCACACAGAATTGGGGTGGTTGAGTTGTGGTGTACGTGTTGGGCGAGGAGAGTCTGTGGGGCTGAAGCCAAACCACAGTTATATCGTGAAGGACTTCAGTTTCTCATGAGAGTTTGGACTTTCCCTGGTAAGCAATGACCAGCCAGCTGTAGAATGTTCTTTCCGAAGGGAAACAATCTAGTTCAATAGATGATTCTTTTGGAATGGATCTTACTTTGAACCTCGCTAGTCAGTGTGACCACAGACGACAGCACCAGCATCAGATTGGAACGTGTGAGAATTTGTCTCAAGCTCTGTCCCAAGACACTGGCACCCAGATGAGGAGCTTCAGTTTTACAAGGTCCTCATAGGACTCCTTAGCACGTTACAGGTTACAAATCTTAGATTTAGGAGTGTTTTTAAAAAAATTCCTCTGTGAATACTAAAGTAATTTTTTTAAATAAAGTGCCTTTTTGTAAGAAATATGTAGTGGGATATTTTTGAGCACATAAAGGAAGGAAATACTGTAAGAATTGAGTGACCAGCTTGTCCAGTGTGACTCGACCTGTGACCAGATTCAGAGTCAAACATAAACATGTTGTCATCCACATGTGTTGGAAAGGAGTCAAATCTAGACACTTTTCACTTGGCCCCTGAGTACACAAAGAAGAGGATCAGTCAGAAGGATACACAGAGCTGGATTTTCTGTTTTCCTGTGGGTGTTTTGAGATTAAATAGGTTTTGGGGGAAGTAGCAGTTAAGAAAATTGATTGTACCCTGGATGTGAAAAGTCATATTCATTATTTCTGAGTCCCACTGAAATGCATTGTGCACCAGGGACACTGACGTGGGTGACACTCCAGGCTAAGCTGTTCCAAAGGTCTTTAGAGTTTTAAGCACATGAAATTGCAACAAAGAGCTCACACAGAACTCCCCTGAGGGGTCCACAATATAGGGACAATGGTCCTTTCCCAAAGCCTCACAATGACTTTGTGGAAAGTTCTTGACCCTTTTCCTCAGACTGAGTTGGCTTTTTTAAAAAAAATCATGCCTGATGAGAATATAACACATTATTTTATAATGGGTTTCTCTGTCCTACAAATTCTGGAATGTTAACAACCCATTTCACTGGAGACCTCTTTCTTTTTTCATTTCCTTTCTTTTCTCTTTCTGTTTTTTTCCCATTTCTTGCATTATTTTTAAATCTTGCTTCACAGTTACCTTTTGCTCTCTTTTTTTCTGACGTTATCCTTCTGAAAATGTCCAGACTTAAGTGTCACTGCTTTGTCTTTCTGAGAGGAAACCAGGGAAGCACCTTCTTGTATCTAGGTGTCTTTGAAGGCTTCTGGTTTTCCTTGACCTCTAGCATCTGATATAGCGAGGATCACAGCTTCCTGATGGCTGATAGGTGTGGATGCTGTATGACAGTGTGACTTTAGTTCTCAATGGGGTGAGTCGTCTCCCAGAGGTCATTTGGTAGCATTTGGAAACAATGTGGTCTTAGCTTTGGTGAGGGTCATGGATGCAGCTCGGTGCTACAGCGCACAACAGTGACCTGACCTTAACTGTGAAAGGTGTCTACCTAAGAGACTGCTACAAAGCGGTCAGAGGAGAGTCCTCAAGAGAAAACTGTGTCTGTATACGTTTAAGCTTGCTTATTTGGAGAATTATTCATCCCTTCCCTTTGTCTACATAGTGGTGGTTCAAAAGCAGCCACAAGGAAGGTGAAACATCCTGGATGAGGGGGCTGGAGAAGTTAGATTCTAGCCCTGCTCCGTCCTTTACCAGCCATGTGGCCTCAGCTGCGTCACTTCACCTCTCTGCTTCAGATTCTTCACCTGGAGAATGAGTGCTTGGAACATATGAGCACTGATGTCCTTTCAAGTTCAGTGATGTCTGTTATTTTTTGTTGTTTAAAAAATGAATATCAGAATTCAGGTGTGGAAGCATACACTTATAATCTCAACACACAGAAGCTGAGGCAGCATGATCACTGAGGATTCAAGACCAGCTAAACTATATAGCTAGACCCTGTCTCAGCAAAACAAAATAAATAAAAATAAAACAATATCAGGAACCGAAACAGAGATATGGTCCAAATGTTATATGGAAGTTTTGAGAAGTGCTCTTGGCCACTTTTCTTTGTTGGAAAGACCGTGTAACTGGCCTTGACAAAACAAGAAGATAAAAGTCGATAGTCTTTATTTGCTTTTGTAGTCATGACATCACACTGCTCACTGTGGTTGTAAGTAAAGAGATGAGCGAAAACACTGTCCCGTGGGGTGAGACAAGGTGTGGCAGAATGCCCATAGGTTTCCTTTGCTATGAATGTGTTCTCTTGTGATTTCAGGTGGGTCACAGACAGCAGGAACCCAGTGACTTTCTAAGATGTAAACATCCTGCTTTAGGGCAGCCTGCTTTCAGTTTTGTAGACCTGGGTAACATGGAAGGAAGACAGGGAATCACTGTGAGGGAAAAAAAACGGGCCAAGCATGTTTGGTTTTTCAACTTCTGTAGTAAATACTAAGAGTGACCCTTCCTTTTTATATAGGAACCATGTCCCAAGTTTCTTAGGTGGATGTAATCAGCATATCAGTAGACAAAAGAACTTGAAAGAAGGAAAATGTGGAAATACAGGTGAAGCATTCAAGATGAAAGATTGGTTTCTAGAGTCTCAGGCCACAGCTGGCTAGCGTTCTTCATGCATTTAGAAAAGTATCTGATTATGCAGAATAACTCACAGTGATACCACACAGTGATTTCTGATCTTGGGACCAGACTGATGTACATAATAAACTGTGTTATGTTGTTTTAGAATTCCTAAGCTGGCCCCTAGTTTGGAATTGGGTTGGGGTGGGCATTTTTATCCTTGGATTCTCTTCCTAGAGCTGTGCATGCACGTGCACACACACACACACACACACACACACACACACACACACGCATGCACACACAATTTAAGAGTCAGGAAACTCACTTCCTGCGGCCAGAGCAATGCCTCTGTGTTCGTTCCACCTGT